GGGCAGACATCAGTAGGGGGCCCAAGGCGGAAATAGGCGCAGGCGGAGCGAGGCGGGGGCCGAGGGCGGGAGGATATGCGCGGAAACGGACACGGATATGCGAGTAGAGATGTGGCGTGGCCGGGGGGGGGGGCGATATGGTGGGTGAATGAAGGCAGAGCAGCAGGGCGGCGGTCACGGCAGGGATGGTGGGGCCCAGGGGCTCGGACGGGGCCAGGGCAGAAGCGAGGGCAGGGCTGGTTGAGGGGGGAGCAGGGGGGTAGGAGCGGTGGGAGGAGACGGAGGGGGGGGGCTCCCGCCGGAGCTCTTCTCATTACGGAGCGGAACGCGCGCCGCGCGGCGCCTCGGCCCCGCTTCGCCTATAATGGTTCGATGCTGGCAAGTAAACCCGCGGCTAACGATCTTTTAATGAAAGTCGTCCAGTGCTGCTTTTCATGCGTTTCCAGCGTTCGCGAGACCATTATTCAAATGCGAAGGAAAAGGAGCGGCGCGCCGCCCCGAGAGTCCGCTGAACCCCGGTCTGCAGCCGCGGAGGCCCCGGAGAGCGCGGAACTGACGCAAAGTAGGTAGCGAAACCGATCGCAGATGGCAATGGACTTCCGTCCGAGACTACTGCAGAAGGGAATGAGATTTTGATATTGAAGTGTTTGAGAAAGTGACACACACAGAAGAGAGAGAGAGAGAGAGAGAGAGAGAGAGAGAAAGAGAGAGAGATGAGAGAGAGAGAGAGAGAGGGAGGAGGGAGGTAGGAGAGGGAGGGAGGGAGGGAGAAAAAAGGAGAAAGAGAGAGAAAAGATAAAACAGGAATAGTTTTTTTGCAATATCTATGACTGTAACATTACAAGTAAATGTTTTTTCGAACGCGTGAGAAGCCATGAAAAATTATTGACATAATCGATTTTATAAGCTGTAATTGAAGGGTAATTTATGTACTAAAGCAACACTGATAAATATGTAAACAAGCGAATTGGCGGTGTCTCGAATTCACCTTTCGTTCTTTGACAATGTTTCAATTAACCATCACAGCCACGCAGCAATTATTGCACAAAAGAAAACGAAGCAAGGGATTACCTATTGTATCGCAACGCGAGAAGCAACACATTGTCTTCGGGATCATCTGAATGGGCGAGCTCGTTCTTACTCAGTAAACCCGACCGCAGCCTTTCCGACGCCGATTGAATTGCGCCAATCAAACAGAAGAGAGGACAGCAAAGGAACGACGCCAGAGGAAGAACACAACGGGCGAATTCGAAGCTCGAGGGAAGGAAGCGCAGTACTCGCGGAGCGTAACCGAAGCGTTTGCCTGTCACGCGTTGAATAATGGCCTGCGACGGCCCAAGCGACTACAACAACGCGCGGAGCGGACTTTGTGATCGCCGAGGTGGAGTCGTTAATTCAATTAGCAGCAGCCGAGAAGGTTACTTTCCAGTATCGCAGCGATTCCGTTATGATTTGACAAGTGGAAGTGATTTAGACACCCTTTCGAGGGTTCTTTAAGACGGAAAGTGGCGTTTTATCAGAAATGTATATAGGTTTACTTCAAATTAGTATCACGTTTCTTTGAAGAGCAATTTCAGAGAAATGTAATGAGCAAATGGTTACAGTTCATTTGCCAAAATATGCAATAAGGATTCTTGCGCAAAATAAAAAGGAAAGTGAAAACAACTAATGTCTCTCTCAACAATAATTAAAATGAAAGAAATGTATTCGAGAAAATTAAAATCAAGAGAAACCCCAACCAAGAGAAACTGTCTTCACCAAAATTTTACAACTTGAAACTCGATCTGAGAGGTAAATAGATAACACAACTGATAATGAATGACCGCTTTAAGCTCTCTTTAAACTTGTAAACGCAATTGACAGTATAATTTCCAAAACGCGCTTCGAAAATTGATGATTTTCATTAAGATCTAAAAAATTAAATAAAACTTCACTTTACAGCTAACGGCTGAATTTACGAGTCAGTGCGTTAAATACATTTCTAATTTCGCCTACTTCATGTCTGGAAGTATCCAAAGATCCTTCCACAGAGCCAGCTGTCAGTTACCAACCCACACCCAAGCGCAGAGCTCCGAGCGCAAAATTTCAGGCTCAGAGAGCAACCCGCACACGTTGGCCATTCACGGCCCTGGGACGCCAGCCGCCTCACCCGCCCCCGGCGAAGCGCCCCAGGCGGTGCTCAGGGGCGGGCGGGCGATGCTGGCGTGCAAACGGCGCGGGGGCGATATCGTGCGAGAGCGTCCTCCCTTGGCCAGATCACGCCTCCGCCCCCGCCCCCCCCACCCCCCCGCCGCCATCAGCGCGGAGGCGGCCCCAGATTCACCACCGCCGCCGCCGCCGCCGCCGCCGCCACGGCCATCAGATTCGACGTCCCGCCGACCGCCACGGTCAGACGTCGGCCCGTCGT